CACACACTTACATGAAAGGTCAATATTCCATTGTATTGACTCAGACAATGTTAGTTTGGGCTGCCTGGAGCCCAGTCAAAACAACTGATGCTTAGAAGCAAGCTCACTATAGGGGATAAATGTCTAGTGCATGGACCTGAGATGAAAAATTTGGAGGAGACAAAATTATTGTAAGATGAGCACAGAGGGGTCTTGTCGGTGAACCAGGAGTGAGCACTTGCTGCTTGAAAAATTGCACAAATTGTTCAAAGCGGCAGTTTCGTTTCCACATTTGCAATGCAGGGCAGCCATTAAAATGCAATCATTGGGCATTTCTGCTAGTGCTTTCCAGGCCTGAGTGCATGTAAATATTAGCATCAGCTTGAGGGCTGGTGCAGCGGGCAGAGCTAATGTGGCTCCCATCACGCAACTTTGACAGCCTTGACCCCCCGCATCATCTCCATGTATCATTTTGCGCTGGTTCAGTGCCGTTAATCAATTTAGGAGGCAGTAATGATGCTCTCTCTGGCCTCCCAGGAGACTCTGCATTATAAAGAACTTACATTATTTATCAAGGGCTGGATCTGAGGCCTCCATTAAGCACCAGCTCAATTGCGATGTTCTCTAATAAAAAAAAAACAAAGGTTGGGGGTTGAACAAATGTAGAAGGGTTGAAAAGAAAGCAAGAGTGAAAGAAACAGACACTCAGGCCATGAACAAATGCACTTTAAATTCCACATGATGCCATATTTATACCAAACACAAGATGCGCATCAGCTAATGCGCTGTAAATGATGGCTAATCATATGTTCTCAGTATGTTGAAGAGAGACTGTGGAGCTTCAGAGAAACTTTGCACCAGACAAACAAAGGTGGTTGTAGATATTTATATTATTACATTATCATCAATTACGACATATTTAGATCATTAGATTATTATAAATGAAATTACTATAAAACACTCCTTGTGATATGTCCATATACAGTACAGACCTGAGCATGTGACGAACACATTTACTATCTATAACAAATATGATTACTGTAAACAAGGACACTACAGTGATTTGAATAAATTTCCTTTTTGAAGATTTCCTGTCTGACAAATAAATTGTTGTGGTCCTGACCTTCGACCCCTGCCTGTTTGACAATGCACCCGGCCCCTTACGGCTTCTACAAGTAGTGGGCCTGAATAAAGATGGCTGAGCCCAGCTGGGTTCCATTGAAAAAAACCCAGCCACCAGGTACTTGCATACGATCCCCAACACCAGGCCTACCTCTTGTTTCGGGTCCCAGCTGCATCATACAAGGGACATTGCAGTACAAGGGACATTGCAGTTCTCTATGTTTTATTACTCAGAAGGGTTTTGAACCTTGCCTTGAGAGACCCAACCAGGGGATAACTCTTATAGCCCGTTTCCACTAAGAGGTACAGTATGGTACAGTACGGGTCAACTTTATCAAGCTTGCGTTTCCACCGCCAAAAGGGTGGGTGTGGTCAGTGCAGTGCTAGCATTAATGCGTTGATGTATTGGTCCATTGGAGTAAAAAAGGAGCTGAGCTGAAAGCAGATTTGTCTGTAAATACAGTTCCTACTCTCATCTATGGTCCTGAACATCGGGTCATGAGCAAAAGAACAAGATCTTGGATACAAGTGACCGAAATGAGCTTTCTTCGCAAGGTAGCAGGGCACACCCTCAAAGCTCTGTCTCACAGGAGGAGCTTGAAGTATAACCGCTGCTCCTCCACATGGAAAGAAGCTAGCTGAAGTAGTTTGGGCATCTGTTTCAGATGCCACCTGGATGCCTACCGAGGGAAGTGGTCCAGTCTTGTCCCACCAGGATGAGGCCCTGGGGAAAACCCAGGACACACTGAAGGAACTATGTCTCTCTGCTTTCCTGGGAATTCCTCGGGATACCCCTGGAGAAGCCGGAGGAACTGTCTAGGAAGAGTGAAGTCACGGGTTCTCTCCTGAGACTGCTGCCCCCGTGACCCGGCCCCAGATAAGAGGTAGAATGTGAATGAATGAATGAATGAATGAATGAATGAATGAATGAATGAATGAATGTTTCCTGTCATTGCAATATTCCAGTCATAGCAGATAGGTAAAAATGTAATTTTTTTTGTTTTGTTGTATTATTATTCTTACTGGATATCTGCCTCCTCATTATTATTACAACCACTACCATTACTGCTACTTACTACTACAATAACAACTACTACTACTACTACTTATAGTAATACTAATAATAATAATGAAAATGAAAATAACTTTTTTAGTTCTGTGAACAATGTCAGTCTAATGTCTTATTTATTGACATACAATTGTGATGGTTTAACAAGTGCAAAGGTGGGATGTTGATGATCATCCTCTTTATTTTAGCTATTTTTAGCAAGAACATCAATAACTAATATAATAACAATAATAAATAACAACAATATTATAACAATAACAACAAACAAAAAATGATTATAATGCTAAAGAATTTAAATTAAAAAGTACTGATTGATGAAAGATACAAAATATATCTAAAATATAAATATAAATAATATAAAAACAAGTGTCACTTTAAGTGTTACCAAAAAAAGCATTTAAACATGATTATTATGCAAATATTCAAGTTTTATATCTGTGGGAAAGAAGCATGAACAATTTTTATTTTATTTTTTTTAAATAAAACAAACCCCTTACTGATTTAAATACACAAATACAGACATAGTCTTATTAAAGCATTTCTTACAATGGTCTTTTACAACTCAAGCTTTCACAGCAGATTTAGTTTAAAAACATCTGATAACCAAAAACATATCAAATATTTCAAGTTTCAAATATTAATTTAATATTTTACATTAATTACTAACTTTTCCCAGAATCCTTTAAGGAGCTACAAGGACCAGAGGATATCCCATCCTTGGATCTGTTTGAATCTTGAAATGTCATTTGATGAATTAAATCATTAAATCATTTGCTCAAGAACAGATGAAGTTCAATGATCCAAAAATGAATCGTTCAGGGTGATATACGAAATGTTTCCACAGGTTAACTGAAAAGGATTTGGAATGTGACACCTCCATTATGTCTTGAAGTGGGTGTGAGTTTACATTCATATGAGGAATTACACTTTTATGAACTGTGGAGAAATAAAATATGATCATATGCTTTGGAATTTAGCAAAATGGTAAATAAAAACTTTTTTATGTGAAAGAAAATCACAAGTTAAAAATATCAACTACCAACAATAATACAATGATAAAAATAATGAAAGTATTTAAAATATTAAAATAGTCTTCACCAAATAATTACATTTCCTCATTATTTACTAACATTTAGCTTGTACCAATCCTTAATGAGTTTCCTTTTTTTCTGTTAAACACAAAGATAATTTGGAGAAAGCAGAAAACATGTACCTATTGACTTTCTAGTAGGAAAAAACAAATAGTATAGAAGTGAATGGTTACAGATTTCCAGCATTTTTCAAAACATCTTTTGTGTTCTACAGAAGAATAAAGTCATAAAGGTTTGAAACAAGTTAATGGTGATTAAATGATGACAGGTCTATCTCCTTACGTATTTAAGCAGTTTTTGCAGATACAAACAAGTCTCAAAATGCAAATACTCTCCAAAATCGCGTTAAAATTTGGGGAATGCAATTATTGTATGATGTCAATTTTTTTATTTATTTTTTATTGCATAAAAGGCACACTGTTAACAAATTTAATCTAATAGAATTTTGAAGATAATACATTTAAACTCAAGCAAAATATTGCAATCATTATTATTATTATTTTTTTTGCTTTTTGCTTTTTTAAATTTGTATTTTATATTTTCTGTGACATAAAAATTTGGGTGTACAAATTTTTTAACTTTATCGTAAGTTATTTTGTTAAATAAGCTCCAGATTTTGCTTTAGTACTGACTAATCTAATGTATATAAACATATAATATTGTACAGCTTTCTATTAAAATATGATATATGTGAGGGGTGTACTTATATATGCTATATACTTCATTGCCCCACCTACCTAAAAGTAAAATATAATGTACATATAATGTCTCTGTACATTGACTACATTCTATAATGATCAATGCACACATAATATACTTGTAGGCCACCCTTAAAATCCAGCACACAATTCTATACCGTCACTGCTCATCTCTGTCCACTATGTCCACTAAGGAGTCTACATCCGCAGACAACTCATCCAAACAAAATGGTAAGTTTAATGCTGATATAAGAAAATTGCAGGCAGTCTTTTTCTCTGTATGTCACACACACGTACACAAACACACACACAATGAGTGAGAATAAAACAATCCAAGCAAATCATGGACAAGGACAAATTCTTGTCCTTTGAGTAATCTGATATGTCATCTTCAATGATGTCAGGAAATCTGGCTCAGGTCTCACAGGCTCTGCATGCATCATGTACAGGGCAAATATTCGCTGTAAGTGTTGTGCTTTATTTATTGCCATTTCTGAGCAAGCAAAAAAATTAAATCCCCTCCAACTGCACAATAATAAACAAAATTAACCGGTAATGCACGAGATAAGGACTAAAATTATGTACAATAAAAAACTAACAAAATATAAAGCACATCTGTGTGGATTCAATAGTAAAGGTGAGACTCAAAAAAGTAAATAAAACAATATGAAAACAAAACATTTATACTATTGAAGCTGGCTGACCCTATACTGGAAAACAAAACATCAACAATCACATCATGTGACAACTAAATAAATAATGACAATAATGTATGCCTTACAAAAAGCATAACTATGAGGAAAAACTAGCTGTTGTGCAGACACTCCACATGAGCCATAGAAGATCCTGAATGATTTACTCTCTGTAGTTGTTATGAAGAACAGCCAAGTTGGATGCTTCATTACAGCTCTTATTACAGGATAATCACTTGGAAATAAGTTGTAAACTGCGCGTTCCTCTGAGAGCCATTCACAAACGTGTCAGTAGTAATCTCACAGGTTGTTGACGCGTTTAAATAGAGTAAAGTAAAGTTTACTGTACCTTGTGCGCCACCTCGACGCGATCCTTCACAGCATTCATACAAGCAGACTCGCTGTGCTCTCGCCTGGCGTCAGTGTGTCGCGGGCCGCCGCACCCTCCGCACTCAGCCCATATCACGCCGCGGGATGGAGTGAGCGAGGGGCGGCGCGCAAGTTCTAACAAGTCCTACTTTTTTACACATTCATCGTTTTCAAAGTACTGTGGGATAAATTATGCAACACTGTTACACTGTAGCCAACTCAATCTGGGACCAAGGAGGCTAGAATGTGATCTATCATGGTGCTGGCCTAGGCAGGACAATGGGATAACTGATTCTTTGTCAATCTTTTTTTTTTACTTTGAGCAGATGCAATTAAATTTAGATGTGACAGTTTCGAAGGCTAGAGTGCATGTTTTTTATAGCATGATTGGAAAGGTTTTAAGGATATTATGTAAGGCAAGTTTATAGATCATTTATAAACAGTAGTACATACATAATTATAGGGTAATTCAAAGTTAATCCATAAACAAAAAGATTAAAAGAGTACAATAAGTAAGAAAATAAACATTAAAAATTAAATAAATTTTAAACTGATTTAAAATGTGTTAAAAGAGGTTTAAAAGGAGTAAAGAAGAAAGTAAATCAAGGCAATATTACTGTGTAAAAATGATGGGTTCCACACAGAAGAGAACTAAGATATTAGTTTTTTACAAATTTAGGTGCATTGAACATAAAACAATTAAGTTGTTAACTTAATTAAGTTAACTTAAGAATTGTGTTATTTCAGCTCATTTTAAATAAGTAGTTTGAATAAACAGCAAACAATTTTTTGAGTATATTTTGAATTAGTCTAGTTGGTCTAATTAGATTTGTACACAATGAAAACACATATTTATTAATTAATTAATTTATTTATTTTATTTATTTATTTCAATGCAAACTGTAGGCTTGAGGTTTATCTTTGAAGTCATTTATTACTGTGCAGTAAAGTAAGGTAGGTGGTAATTCCTAAATTTCTAAAATTCAACGCTTAGTTTATCCCACTGACAGGACAATATTGATTCCATTTATATTTGTATATTTTAAAACATTTTTTTTTTTTTTACAAATTATTAGACAATGTCCCCTATAATTGTCCTAATACGTTTCACAACTACCAAAAAAAAAAACACAATTTTAATTCACTTTTCCATCTTTAAGTTCATTAAAAACATGAGAATTCTTTATTTTGTTAATAATAATCAAACGGCTAAATTATAACATTATTTTTCGTTTATTTTTCAATTGAAAAATACAGAAAACAGATGAACAAACCTTCATGAAGCAACTTGGGCTTTTTATGAAGCAACTAGAAAAGAAAACTAACAATGCCACATTCTATTATCATGAAAATAAATAAATAAATAAATTTCAGCATAAATGTATCATGGCAGTGATCAGCCAACTCCTTGATACTATGTTGAAAGTTAATGTAAAAAATCAGCTTAATTAGATGTATAACTACATATATTTTTTGAAATTCTGTTTCATCAGTAGTCCTGTAAGTTATCTAATGTTTGTTATGAATGCTGGAGCTTATAGAACTATATTATCTTTTGGCGGCGGAAGGAGACCATCGACAGTAGAAGTGCTGCTCGCGCGGATTGCGTCACGCGGTTGGCGACAGAATGTCTGAGTGAGGCGCGAGTAAGCTGCACGTGAATGTGAAATCTGGGAAAACACTGCGAGCTGAGAGTGCGTTTCAAGAAGTGTGCAGAATTGCCAAACTGCTAGAATATGTCAGAAATCGGTCGTATATAACTATATTATGTAAGATATTTAGTTTCAGACCATCATCTGTCCTTCAATTTATAGCCTATATATTTCCCCTTTGTTTCTGATCTGCAAACATGCTGCATCTTACTCTATTCTTTTCATTGCATGGCTTCACATCACCAGACTTTTTTTGAGTAAAAATGTGGGACGTTTTTCATCATATGCATGTACTCAAAGCAATATAGTTAAAGCTTAGCAAGCACAACATGCTATAAAATTTAGTAACAGCTTTATAAAATGAAGTTTTGCAATCTAATTAACTGATTTTAAGTCCAATTAATATGTAATATAACTGAATGAATCTAATCACAGCCTATTAACACCAACAAAACTGTGCTTATGGGTTAAATCATTACTTTCTGTAGTGGCAGCTGTGCTGAGCATATTTAAACTTCACGATCTACAAAAATATATCACAGACATTAACATATTTTCAAACACCAATCAATGTCTTAAGAAAGTTGTTATGCTGGATGACGCACAACTGAAAGTTTAAAGATAATGTCGCCTCCTAATGAGCGAGCAAACTACAATGCTCATCTGGTGTCCCACTGAGCTGCTGTCAGGTGCACTTTCAATTTGAGTCCATTTGTCTTAGCAGTATCACCCACTGCTGAGGAGGGAGGAGAGGTCGTGGAAGAGCCTTTCACCTCTGCCACTGAGCCTTCATTCACCCTCATCACAATGAAGCCGGACGCATGTGCTGAAAAGCTCTCTGAACTGATCGAAGGATAGACTCAAACTTACAATCAGTGGTATTTTCATTTCTTTGAGGGGTGCCAAGCTGTGCGTTTGCTTACATATGTGACTCATTTGTGCTTCGGTGCCATCAGCGGTTTTTGGCACAGCACTGGTGTTTTCAGTAATGCTAAGTATGATGGCAGAGAATCAGGCAGCTCGCATTTCAAACAGGCGCCTCCATTGACACTGTGCTCCTGCTCTTCTAGAAATAATGTCTGGAGTGGTAATATTTAAATACTGTCTCCAAGGGCTTTTTATTTATGCTGTAGTAGACCTTCGTATGTCAGCGCAGTAACTAACATAGACACTGAGGGGCACAAGAGCCTCTAATTATTAGAAATGGGCTTGCAAAGCAGAAAAGGGCCCCACCAGTATTTGATAATGATGATGCTCTTTTTGTTTTTTGGGATTACAGATACATTTTAGGGCAGTCTAACAATGAGGTGCTTAAAAAAATAAATACAAATTTATGAAAAGTTTAGAGTAGAGATGACAGTGTTGTAAAAATGGTTCTTTCACATTCATTTTTTAAAATGCCATAACATACACTTTATTATGTACACCTGTCCAACTGCTCGTTAATGCAAATTTCTAATTTGACAATCATATGGCAACTCAATGCATTTAGGCATGCAGACATGGTCAAAGCGATCTGCTGCAGTTCAAACCGAGCATCAGAATAGGGAAGAAAGGTGATTTAAGTTACTTTGAGCGTGGCATGCTTGTTAGTGCCAGATGGGCTGGTTTAAGTATCTTAGAAACTGCTGATCTACTGGAATTTTCACACACAACCATCTCTAGATTTTACAGAGAAAATATCCAGTGAGCGGCAGTTTTGTGAGTGCAAATGCCTTGTTGATGCCGGAGGTCAAAGGAGAATGCCCAGACTGGTTCCAGCTGATAAAAAGGCAACGGTATCTCAAATAACCACTCGTTACTACAGTATGCGAAAGAGCATCTCTGAACGCACAAGATGTCAAACCTTGAGGCAGATGGGCTTCAGCAGCAGATGACCACACCGGGTGCCACTCCTGTCAGCTAACAACATGAAACCGAGGCTACAGTTCACACAGGTTCACCAAAATTGGACAATAGAGGATTGGAAAAATGTTACATGGTTTGATGAGTCTCAATTTTTGCTGCTACATTCGGATGGTAGGGTCAGAATTTGGCATCGTCAACATGAAAGCATAGATCCATCCTGCCTTGTATCACAGGTTCAGGCTGGTGATGGCGATGTAATGGTGTCGGGGATATTTCCTTGGCACACTTTGGCCCATTAGGGCCAAATGAGAATTGTGTCAAAACCACAGCCTACCTGAGTATTGTTGCTGACCATGTCCATCCATTTATGACTACAGTGTACCCATCTTCTGATCGCTAATTCCAGCATGATAACACACCATGTAATAAAGCTTGAATCATCTAAGACTGGTTTCTTCAACATGACAATAAGTTCATGTAGACAAATGACCTTTACAGTAACAAGATCTCTATCCAATAGAGCACATTTGGGATGTAAAGGAACAGGAGATTCACATCATGGATGTGCAGCCAACAAATATGCAGCAACTGTGTGATGCTATCATGTCAATGTGGACCAAAATCTTTGAGGAATTTCCAGTACCTTGTTGAATCTCTGCCATGATGGATTAAGGCAGTTCTGAAGGTAAAAGTTTGTCCAACCCAGTACTAGTCAGAGTTCTGGTCTAGAAAATATGATCATATCAGGTCAAATTTATCCTCCTTACACTGGCTGCATGTTAAATTTCGTATTGATTTTAAAATATTGCTTCTTATAAAGCTTTAAATAATCTAGCTCCTGTTTATCTAACCAACTCACTGTCTTCCTATAGTCCAACCCGTTCTTTAAGATCTCAAAACTCAGGGCTTATATACAGTGTGTATATATATATATATATATATATATATATATATATATATATATATATATATATATATATATATATATATATATATATATATATATATATATACAGTATGTATGTATTGTGGTTAGTAAAGCAATATGTTTTAACTTTACAAATATCCCATTTGATTTTTTATAGTATTGTATCATGTTTTTTGTTTATTGCAAAAGCAATATTAAGTGGATTTTTTATTCCTGTTCTCTGATGTTCTCTGAATGCCATAACTGTACAATAAAAAGCACAGTTTTTAATCCCTAGAGAACACCAGTAGCTCTGTAAGTATGTGGGTAAAAGAAGAGAGAGAGAGAGAGAGAGAGCACAGCAGTCTTGACAGCTGACTGAGCCTCCTATTTTCCTCCCTGATAGGATAACAACTTTGCTGACTGGCATTTGTTCAAATAGACAATATGTTATTTGTAAATGAGCGGCATGTAAGATGACCATACCCCACCCCCCCACCCCCCGGACACACAGCCCCCCCCAACCCTGGCCTAGCTAGAGTTAACCCCTTTCCCCATCATCACCAATCCCCATGGCTGCTAGGAGGGTGGTCTGCCTTACCCCGAGGTGGAGAGAGGAATAAGAGGACAATTGTGGGGCTTTGCATAAAGCTCAAGAGGCTGGAACAGCTGCCATGGTCACT